AGTGTGCGGGTCCCTCAAGAAGTCTAGAATGAACTGGATCTACTCCAGTAGGCGGTCTAGGGGTAACACTGCCGATGACGGCAGGACGTAAGGAGATTTTCAAATAAATTATCAAAACAAAGCAAATACCGATCCACCACAGCTATCCCAGTTTGTGAAACCGTTGAGTTCACGTTCCGAGCGATGAGCCCATATCGCAACCCGCGGAAAGCCATGTGACGCAGTGCACTTTGGGATTGATAAATGAGTAAACAAGTATAAAACGATGTCAGTGCTCGAGTTGTCTGTAACGTAGACTCAGTTTTCGAAAAACATTGGGAAATATTGATATTGTAGTTAATCTCAGAAGCGAAAAAACAAACAAATATCAACATGCACAAGGAAATACAGCAAGAAAAACCTCCAAAAAATGTAGAGTTAATCAAGAATTTCCATTTACTAAGCAAATCAGAAAAAATGAAAAGAAACATATTTTGTCCGATCTGTGGAAAAATCGAAACTAATTAGTGTTTTTACGATTTTATCGATTTGTTTTGATGAAAAAAAGGAGATATATATCCCATGATACATTGCAAAACCAGTCCAACTGTATGAAATCAGGCAATGGATTCAGTGCTTTATCCACCTCATTTTGTACAGTGTCCCAAGTAATATTAAACTTGTAAAGTCATGTGAAATTCTGCCGTGGTATATTACGGTTTGATTGCCAAGACGGCGTCAAATATGTAATTGTGAGCAAGACCTATTTGRACATCTTTGAAACCGTGCTTTTCCAGTAACTGTCGATACTCCTTCCCAGTTCTCTCGGTTGCACCTCTGTCAGCAATCACAAGCATTAACAGTGACATAAACTGGGTATATACCGGTCCACTCTTGTCCTCCTTCAACATCGATTCTCCTATAAGAATACCTCCACCTAACAAAACAATGGCGTCAGCCATTAGCCATTCCGAAATTCAAAAGGAGACTGGGAACGAGTGTGAAAATTCATTGAAAACTGAACCTCACCACATGAAAGGCCACACTAAAATTAGTGTYCTTGTCAAATTTGAGCATATTTGGTTGAATACTCACTGAGTAGGAATTYTTTCAAATTTGTAAAAATAAGAGCCAGAATGTATGGTTTTTGGGGACGCTGCTCAAAACCTCCATACATTCTTTGTAAATTTTTCGAGATTTAAACGCTTGAAACTATGTAATTATTAATCCGGATACACTCAAACTTAGCAGCTTTACTAATTTTAGTGGTCGTTCTTGTCCTTGTGTCTGTTTTTTGATTGCTTCAAACGGTATCGAGTTTGTGACTAGTCACCAGTCCCTTTTGGAATTTCGGACGGGCAATTCACCGATTGAAGCTAAGGCGGCGAAATACRGGAACAAAGGCGCCTACGTGTTCCTACTTGTTGCACTGAAATATGGTGTTGCAGTTTGAAAACGATGTTTTACATGCGATTCATTCAACCTCTCACACAGAAACTGAAAAACATTTGTTACAAATTTGACAAATCACGCAAGCTGATTGGTTGAGAGAATCGTAATCAAGATGGCGGCCGCATTAGTTMTTTGCGGGAAAAGTTGTGTATATTATGTGAAGCGAGCAACAAAGCAGCAAATCTCTTAAAAAGCATTCATCCATGGCCACTGTCTAATTTTCTTTAARCACGTTTGTYTAATTTACACCAGTTGTTTTTGTTGTTTTGCGCGTTGTATGAAACGAAATTAAGCATCGCTTTCTAAACAGAGCGTCAACGATATTGCCCTACAGCCAAGTAGGGCTTTGTTCGTCTCCTTCATCCACTTATTAATTATATCATTACGTTTGATACCWTGAAAAGGCAACAACACTATTAACTATTTTACTTTAATTACATATGTAAAAAAAGAAAACAATCCGAGCAGTAATTACCTGAAGG